CGCATCTGTATTAAGTATAGGCAGCTCAATAAGGTGACTATCAAGAATAAGTATCCCCTCCCTAGAATTCACGATTTGTTTGACTAGTTGAAGGGAGCTTTAGTTTTCTCTAATATTGATTTGTGGTCGGGATATCATCAATTGAATATTCAAGAGAAAGATATTTTTGAAAATGATTTTTAGAACGAGATATGGTCACTATGAGTTTATTGTTATACCGTTTGGGGTTACTAATGCGCCTACTACTTTTATGAACTTGACGAATATAATATTTCAACCCTATATGAACCAGTTCGTAGTGGTATTCATTGACAATATATTAGTGTATTCGAAGTCGGAAGAAGAGCATAGTATACATCTGAAGATAGCTTTGCAGATTTTGTGGGATAAGAAGATATATGCCAAAATATCTAAATGTGAATTCTGGTTGAATGAAGTGACATTCCTTGGACATGTTATTTCTGCAGAAGGAATTCAGGTGGATCCCCAAATGTTAAAAGCCATTCTAGAATGGGAAGTTCCAAAGAATATATCGGAAGTTATTAGTTTTCTAGGGCTAGCAGGTTATTATCGAAGATTCTTTAAGAACTTTTCGATGATAGCTTTACCTTTAACTAGGTTAATGAGGAAGGATATAAAATTTTCTTGGACTCAGGAATGCCAAGAAAGTTTTGAAATATTGAAGAAAATTTTGAGAGAAGCTCCAGTATTAGTTCAACCTGAGTCTGGTAAGAACTATGTGGTTTACAGTGAACGTCCCATAATGGCTTGGGATGTGTATTGATGCAATAAGGCAAAGTAGTGGCCTACGCGTCTAGAGAATTGAAACCAAATGAAAAGAACTATCCAAAACATGACTTAGAGTTGGCTGCAGTAGTGTTCGCTCTTAAGATTTGGCGGCACTACTTATATGGTGAACGTTGTTACTTGTACACTGATCATAAGAGCTTAAATTATCTGATGACCCAGAAGGAGTTGAATTTAAGGCAAAGAAGATGGATTGAATTTCTAAAGGATTATGATGTGGTAATCGATTTCCATCATGGAAAAACAAATGTGGTAGCGGACGCTTGAAGTCGAAAAACATTTGCAGCCTTACTAGCTTTAGATGCCAAGTTGTCATTGGAGGGAGATGGTGCAATATGTGTGGAATTGACACTTAAGCTAACATGGATGAATCGAGTTAAGGAATTGCAAAAAAAGATGAAAAGTGCTTGAAGAATTTGCAACAAGTATAGAATGAAGAGATGAAAGATTATGAGATTAAGTCTTATGGAAATTTATATTATCGAGGGAGATTAGTAATTCCAGATGATAATGAATTGAAGAATGATATGTTAACAGAAGCTCATTGTAGTCCATTGATGATGCACCCGAGAAGAAGCAAGATGTACATGGATCTTAAGAGTCAATATTGGTGGCTAAGAATGAAAAGGAATATTATGGAATTTGTGTCCAAGTGTAGACTTGCCAGCAAGTCAAAGCTAAGCATCAGGTTCCGTCAGGGCTATTGCAACCAATGTCTATTCCTCAATGGAAATGGGAGAATGTGACGATGGATTTTATGACGGGGTCGCCTTTGACTCTGAACAAAATAGATTCTATTTGGGTGATCGTGGATAGATTAACTAAGTCAGCCTATTTCATTCTTGTACGAGTTGATTTCTCCATGGATAAGTATGTTGAACTATGTATCAGGGAGATTTTACGATTGCATGGTGTACTTGTTTCAATTGTTTCTAATCAAGATCCTAGATTCACATCAAGAATTTAGAAGACTTTGCATGGAGCGTTAGGAAATCGATTGAACTTTAGTACAACATTTCATCCTCAAACCGATGGACAGCCATAATAGACTATCCAAACTCTGGAGGATATGTTGAGAGCCTCCGTAATAGAGTTTAAGGGATCGTGGGAAAAGTACTTACCACTTGCGGAATTCACTTACAACAATAGCTACCAGTCAAGTATTAAGATGGCTCCCTATGAGGCTTTATATTAGAGAAAGTGTCGTACGCCCTTGAATTGGTACGAGCTAAAAGATCGAGAAGTTCTTGGTCCTGAGTTGATTCAGGAGGTGGAAGAGAAAGTTCAAGAGATTCAAAACAATCTTAAAGCAACAACGGATAAACAAGAATCATATGTTGATCTTAAGAGGAAAGAGATTGAATTTCAAGTTGGAGATAAAATGTTTCTAAAAGTATCTCCTTGGAAAAAGGAGCTAAGATTTAGAAGAAAAGGAAAGCTTAGTCCCCGGTTTATTGGACCCTATGAGATCATTAAGAGAGTAGGACCAATGGCATACCAATTGGTTTTTCCACCTGAAATGGAGAAGACTTATGATGTTTTCCACGTTTCATGCTCCAGAAATATAGATCCGATCTTTCTTATATTGTGACATCAGAAGAGATAGAAGTTTAGCCTGACCTGACTTATGAAGAAAATCGGTTCAAATAGTGGCTCATGAGGTAAAACGGTTATGAAAAATGATAATTCCATTGGTCAAGGTGTTATGGAGAAATCATAAGGAAGAGGTAGCAACGTGTGAAAGTGAAGAGGACATGAGGATCAGTACCTCAATCTCTTTATATGGTGAAAATTTGAGGACAAATTTTATTAAGGAGGAGATTTGTAACATCCTAAACACCGGGTTAGTGACCAAATTATAAAACTTCAGAATTTAGTGAATAACGTAGATAAATTGAATAGTTCAGGGACTTATATGGAAATTTTGTGTAGGGTTAAATAGCAAAGAAGAATGATTGGAAGGGAATAATGGTCATTTGACCAATAAATGAATTAAAAATGGGATATGATGGAGATATATACACGTGGAGATATGTAAAGGAGGAAAAGAAAGATTTTCCAGAGTTCTCTTCATCCTTCTTCATTCTTTCAACCGTGAAACCTAAGTTTCCAAGGTGACTTTCTTGGTAGCTAATTATTCATTGAATTTAAGTTTGATTTATGTTCTTTGGGTAATACTTAAACTTAAGGAAAGCTTAAGTTGTCTTAAAACTATAAGGTGAAGAAGTTAGGAAGGATTAAAGATAGGAGCGTAATAAGTGAAATCTTGGAAGAAAGTTAGTAAATGAAGTTTGAGACTAAATTGGACTTGTCATCAACTAAATTAAGAAGTATGAAGTGTTACAATTAAAGTTAGAACATGTTGGAAAATTAGTACAATTTTTAATTTCAAGATATAGAATGAGATTTTGAAGATAATGATGATTTATATAGATATAAGTTTATTTGAGTATAGGTAATTGAGTTTAATGGCATGTTAGGGGCTTAAAATGGAAGGTTTAGATTGGTATTGGTGAATTTTTGGGTTTAAAAAGTGATTTCTGGGCTTTGGGTATCGGTACTGATTCATCCAGTACCGATACTTCAAGTGTAAAAGAGTGATATTTGGTAAAGGGGTATCGATACTAGTTGATTTGATAAGTTATTCAAGGGGTATCAATATTTAAAGGGTAGTATTGATACCAAGGGTACCGATACCATTAGGTCGGTATCGATACCATTTTTGAAATAATGATTATAGAATCGAAAATGGGTACCGATACCCAAGCCCAGTATCGATACCATAGCTAAGAAGTATCGATACCATATATCGGGTACCGATACTACTCAAAGTGGAAAATGGAATTAAGCCTCTCTTTTAGCTTAAGATATTAAGGATTGAATTATAATGTTTATGATTCTAATATGTATATTAAATGTATGATTATGTAGATATTGAGCATAAGCAAGTTTTGGAATAATCGAAGAGATAAAAACGGTTGAGAGAGAGATAAAGTCATAGAATCGATTCGATTCTAGTGAGGCTAAGGTGAGTGCATTTCAAGATTTCATATTCATGTAAATGCATATCTTATGATTATAACAAGTACATGCATAACTTATTCATGCTTAAATATGATATGATATGTGATGTATGCAAACATAAGAGTACCAATCCAAGCTATATGTTATAAGACAAGTGATCATATGTGTACCTGTGAAATATGAAATTTGATTATATGAGAAATGATAGAAGAGATATGGAAATATGGAACGTAGAAATTTTAAGCCCATGTTATTTAATATGAGAGCTATAGGTATAATTGGCATGCCAAGAGTCGAGGGTTCCATGTGGTCCTTCGGGATATAATGTAATCCTTTGGAACATATATGCGGTTATTCGGGACACATATTTGGTCCTTTGGAATATATATACTATCCTTTAGGAGTTGTCATTCGGGACAAGTTTTATGTCCCCCTAGAGGGAATTTATATGAGCTGTGGTGACAATATATGTGCACAACCTTAATGTACTCACATACCTCAGGTTCTCAGTATTGTACAAGGGCACCCAAATGATAAACCAAATTAAATACCTAATAAGATGATTTGTTTCATGTATACATTTCATGACTATATATGTTATAGTTGAATAAATGTATGCAAATTATAATATCATATTGGAGTTATATGGTTGCATATTTTATGAATTCATTGTTATATGTTATATTATGCCTCACTAAGTCTGTAACTTAATGTGTGAGTGTTTCACACATATGTACCAAGAAACAGAAAGACCATATTTAAAGTTAAGAAGCAACATCTCCTTTGAAGACGATTAGATCAGAAGTGATTTAAAACAATAGGTCATTTTGTTGTAGCAATTATGTTAGCATGTAATTACAGTTTAAATCATATATGCTCTGATCGATTTTGTAATCATTTTGATGGTATTTATGTAAATTATTTCACTGTTGTTTTAAATAAAGTTTTAATTTTTTATAAATTTTGTAAAATTAAACGTTTGAAAAGGGTCAATGTGACACATCGAATTCGTATCCGGGTCGGGTACGGGTTGGGGGTGTTTGTCCGCTATTTGTGAGTACTATAAATGGGTGCGGATATATGTGCAAGTATACACAATCGAACAAGTAATACAGTGATAAGTTGAGTATCGTCTCCATAGGGAATTGGGGAAATCAAATAGGTTTGTCAAGACACTTTACTTTGTGATGGTATGTACAAATGAGAATGTTGTGGCAAAATGGAATGAATGATGTGAAAATGGAATGGTGGTAGTGTGGTCGCAATTGAATATGTCGTGGCAAGTTGGATGAAATATCGTGGCAAATTCAATTGTGATAAGTGCAAACAAATGGAAATGTCAAGGTAAAATAAAATATAAATATATGATTTAATTAATAAGACTTTAGTTATCTCACACGACAAGCTACTATAGAAGTGAGTGATAGGAGTCACTGGAAAATCTAAGTCTATTTCTCCTAATGATATTTCTTCTATGCCTAGCCTACCCGAAAGAGTCTACTAAGGTGCCCTATGCTATCTCTAGTAAGGACTGGTTAGATTAAAGATGCCCTAGCATAATCGATTGGCGTAAACCCCTGCAGTGATCCTATTGGTCCAGATAACAGGATATGTCTCGGTAATACCTTTTTGTGGCAGCATTAACATCTAACCTACGTTTTTGCACAACTACTTTTAGTCGAATGAAATCCTACCCTTATCTCTAAGGTGGATTAGGCCTAGTTACTACCTAGGACCCCTTGTTTATGTAGTTCCTCCCTAGTTTCTCTCGAACACTAAGGATAATTTGCCAAGGCATTCTCTCGAACCCTCAAGACATCTTAAGGAAAGGATACTCTCGTAGCTCCTACAACCTTAAGGCATTAAGTTTCATAAACAAAACAGGTTAAAGCATAGAAAAACAACCATTCATTGAAATATAAGCTTAAACATCCAAGCGAACTCCAACCAAATAAGATTAGTTCATGGTGGGGTTCGAAATAAACAAGCACAAAGCAAGTTTCATCCGTTCCTTACAACCCAATAACAAACTATAAAAGCAAAGAACAAAGGGGAGGAGAGAAAGCCTTCGACGTACACTGCCCAATGCTTTCCTCAGCCACCAAGAACTGCTCCCAGTAACTGGCTCCTCTTGCATGCTCAGGACGCCACTCCTTTAGGCTTGTCTAGGAGAAATGCCACAGCAAGTAGGATTGACTGAGAAAAGTAAGACCTTTTCTCTCTAACTTTTAAGCTCAAATGGGCGTGGGACCAAAAGCCATTTTCATTTTGGCTTCATCCTCTATATATAAGGAGAGAAAAACCCTAGGAATTGGTGTTGAAATTCCTAGGATACCCCAACTTTGCTTGATTCTCGTGATGATTGGGCAGTGGTCCAGCATGGGCTGCTGTAAATGGCCCATACTGGGTGGTTGACTGAGCACCTGACATCTGCAGCAGGGCAGCATGGTCCAGCATGGGCATTTTTAGTACTAATCTAGGTGGATTTCTCGCTCTTGGTGAAATTGGGAGACAACTGGCTTCAAAAATATCTTCTCACACTTTGCTCGCTTTCTAAATGCCAATCCAACTCGGCATTATCATTCTCCTCAGCAGTTTCCTTATGTCACGACATTTCTCTTTCTCCTTTCTTTTCTCTCAATTCCTGCACATCATTAGACAAACACCTTCCCCATAAGGCAACACTGATGACAAATTAGAATACCGCGGTAAACTGAATTCAACCACATACAACTAAATACTTCTAAATGCATCTACATGGTCCTAAATGAGTTCTTAGACATTCAATAACTTAAGTGAAAAGGTCTCAAAATGTGACCTTTTTACGGAGTTATCACACCCCCAAACTTAAGCTATTGTTTGTCCTCAAGCAATGTGTAATATTAAGCAAAACAAGCATACACTGGCAAGTTCAGAACCAGAATAGTTATATGGGATAAAATTTCAGCCCTCAGCATAATTGGCTTCAACATGCTAGACTAGTTTGAGAAATCAAGCACTGTCCCTTAGGGCAAGATTCTTTGTGTAGGTGAGTGCGTGTTTGTATCCAGTCCATGCTTAACAAACTTAAAAATTTTCTAAGCAAGCTTTCTTAATTTTCCATGACATTTACAAATTTTTACTCCCACCTTGTTTTCTTTTCTTTCATTAATTCTTCTACGAGGGGAGTCAACCTATCACACCTACCATCCCACACTCTAGGCGAAAGGGAGCATACCTTCCACCCCCAAGCTAGTCAGATAGAGTCATCCCGTGACTACTTTCATTCACTCATATGACATAGTTTCTATATATTTATATGCAGTTTCCAGGTAATGCCATGGCATAGCGGAGTGTCCCTCTATAGATATGCCGAAGCATTTATTCACAACTTCATTTTTTGTGTGTGGGGTTTTCATCATTCAAAGTTTTATGCTATTACATTCAAGAATTCTCTTATAATTTTTTTTGAGTTCCTTAAGCATGGAAAACATACAATCTTGTATTCGAAGGTTTCAAAGAAGCAAGTCCTAGAGTTGGTTCTGTCATCCTCAACAGTCATGAACATTCAATCCTAGCCATAAAAAATTCATCATCATCGGCATCCTTAATTTACTCCAGAAAACTAATTATACATTTACTAATGTCATGGCATATTTATTTTATTAATAATATCATGTAATGATTTGAGAACCCTACCTCCCCCAAACTTGAGAGAATCATTGTCCTCAATTCTTACTTAAACTAAGGAAAATCAAACTACATGCTATGAAATGCAATGTAATGCAAGGTACCTTGACTTTACGCTTGTGGTGGTGCGACGATCGTGCGACGTGTGCGCTTCCAAAATTGTGTGGGGATGGAGTGTTCAAAATCTGATGCTGGTACATTTGAAAGTTGTATGTACCCTAACCTTGCAAAGAAAAATAAAATAGTCAATTAAAAAGAAGGTAAATAAACATTTATTTATGCACAAGAGTAATTTTAAAATGTCACGGCATCCTTAAGATGCTGGGCCAGTATCAACTTCATGCAAGAGAAGTGCAATCTTGTCACACAATGGTGGGACTCCTTGGTATGCCTCCAGGCGCTGGCCATTGACTTTAAAGATAGACCCATCGTCCATGCTCATGATATCCATAGCGCCATACGGGTAAACATGGTAGACTTCGAATGGTCCCAACCATCATGACTTCAGTTTTCCAGGGAAGAGTTTGAGCCTAGAGTTAAACAGGAACACTTTCTGGCCAACATGAAAATGCCGTGGTAAAAGCATTTTGTCATGCCACTTCTTCATTTTTTCCTTGTAGAGCTTGGCATTTTCATATGAATGTGCTCGAAACTCTTCCATTCCATTCAGATCTAGCAGTCGTTTCTCCCCAGCTAGTTGTGCGTCGAAGTTCAGCTTCTTGATTGTCCAGTTGCCTTATGTTCTAGCTCAACTGGAAGGTGACAGGCTTTTCCAAATACCATCTTGAAGGGCAACAATCCAAAAGGTGTTTTAAATACCGTCTGGTATGCTCAAAGCGCTTCATCGAGTTTTAGGGACCAGTCTTTCCTTCGAGGGTTCACCACCTTCTCGAGAATCTGCTTGACTTCACGGTTGGATACTTCAGCTTGCCCATTTGTTTGTGGGTGATATGCCGTGGCAATTTTATGTGCACTCCGTATTTCTGTAATGCCTTGGCGATTAGCTTTTGTCAAAGTGGGTGCCCTTATCACTGATAATGGCTCTTGGTGCTCCAAATCGAGTGAAAATGTTCTTGTGAAGGAACTTGAGCACCGTCTTCGAGTCATTCCTTAGTGTCGCAATCGCTTCAACCCACTTGGATACATAGTCCACCGCAAGTAAAATGTATAAGTTTCCAAAAGAAAATGGGAACTGTCCCATAAAATCAATGCGCCAAACATCGAATAGATCTATCTCCAAAATATTTTGCAACGATATTTGGTGTCGTTTGGAAATGTTCCCAGTATGCTGGCATCTGTAACAGGCCTTGCAAAATTGTGGGTATCCTTAAATAGCGATGGCCAGTAGAAGCCTGATTGGAGGACCTTGGCAGCAATCCCCGTACCTCCAAAATGCCCTCCATAGGGTGTTGTGTGGTAATGGTGTAAGATATCGCGTTGCTTCTCTTCAGGGACAAACCGTCGAATCATTTGATCATACATTGCTTGAATAGGTACGGCTCGTCCCAAAAATAGAACTTGGCATCATGCAGAAACCTCTTTTTGCCTGGCTGTTCAATTTATATGGAAAAACACCACTAGCAAGAAAATTAACGAGGTCAGTGTACCATGGAATTGCCGTGGCATATAAGATTTTTTCATCAGGAAATTCTTCCTTAATATAAAAAATGTCATGGCATTCTGAAATGTTTTCTAGCCTAGAAAAATGATCTGCAACCTGGGTTTCAATAATTTTCCTATTGATTACCTCTAAGTCGAACTCTTGCAGTAGTAATATCCACCTAATAAGTCTAGGCTTGGCATCTTTCTTGTTCACTAAATATTTTATAGCTGAGTGATCAGTGTGAACTATGACTTTGGTGCCTATCAAGTATAGCCTAAACTTGTCAAATACAAATACCACGGCAAGTAATTCTTTCTCAGTAGTAGTATAGTTTAATTGTGCCTCATTCAAGGTACGGCTAGCATAATAAATAACATGAAAGATTTTACCTCTACGTTGCCCAAGCACAACCTCCACGGAAAAATCACTTGCATCACACATTAACTCGAACGGTGCCGTCCAATATGGGGGAACCACGATTGGTGCAAAGATAAGTCTTTACTTCAGCTCTTTGAACGCCATGGCATTTCTGATCGAACACGAACAGCTGGTTCTATTGTACCAGGGTGCACAAGGGCTTGGATATAGTGGAGAAGTCTTTGATGAATCTTCTATAAAATATAGCATGTCCAAGGAAACTCCGAATGCCCTTAACAGAAGTTAGTGGGGGTAGCTTCTCGATCACCTTAATCTTGGCTTTGTTTACCTCAATACCCCTTGCAGAGATTTTATGGCCTAAAATAATGCATTCGGTCACCATGAAGTGGCATTTTCCCCAGTTCATCACGAAATCGGCATCCTCGCATCGCTTCAGTACCTTTGTCAAATTGCTGAGGCATTTTTTAAAGTCATCCCCTGAAACAGAAAAATCATCCATAAATTTTTCCAAAAAATCCTCAACCATGTCT